GATCCCACGCAATGCGACAGGCTTGGGGTACAGTGTCTGGCAAGACGTGTGGTGGAAAAGTATATAAGTGCTAGTCAACAGCTGGTTGAACCAGGGAGGTGGTGGATCACTGTCCATGGAGGTGTTCAAGAACTGTGTGGATGTGGCACTGAAGGATGTGGTTTGGTGGGCACGGTAGGGATAGGCTTATGCTGAGACATGATGATCTTAGAGAACTTTTCCAATCTTAAGGATTCAGTGACTCACATGGTTTCTCTTGCGCTGAAGCTTCACTTCCGTCATGTTCTCTGTGAGTCTGTTTTTGGCTTATTAACTGCAGGAAGATATTAGCTACATATTTATCTGCTTCCACCCAAAAAGTAAAAATAATAAAAAATAAAAAGCTACATCATACAATGCTACAATTACATTTCGTAACTAATTAGAGCCTTGCCCACACAATGTCTTCCATCCTGAAAGCTTTGCTAACATTTTTCAGAGCCAAATAGAAAATGAAGACAAAATAAGTGTTTTTGCTCAGATAATTTCTCTTTTCTTTGCAGAAATCGTTAATTACAGTCACAAAAAAAATAAGATATCTTTTGTCCCCCTAAGACATCCTGGAAAAAAATATCATGCTAATTTAGCAGATAAGCTGAATTCAACAAGTTTCTACTCATTTTAGATTTTCTTCGGATGTTCTGCAGGCAATTTCCCCTCATATTTCCTGGAAGACATCGGACATCTATCTATGTAAATGGAACGTTTTGCTAACTGTGGATCCCCCCTGGGAGGATCAGACTTCCCAGTGCTTCCTGGATGGATGGCTATGTACATACCACTGAGATCCACCTGGAGTTTCCAGGGCTGACTGCTCCTGCATCTTCCGTCTAACCCAGTGAAGGACTTGAGAAGGGGAAAAGATCTGACAGACTGCAGCACCCATCCTTTTCATTGCCACATCAGATGTTTTTCAGCTAGCAGGGCTGATGGCCATGCACAGGGCTGTGGTTGCCAGGCAGAGAGACAAATTACCCTTCGGGGACTGCATTTCCCTTTCCAGTCTAACAGCCATTTCTGGCACTTCTCTCTTCTGGGCTCAATTTCATGATACAGGCACGGTGCAAGCGCCAAACCACCAGTTAAATGGGTGAGTGATGGACTGATCAGGATGAGACATTCCTTCTGGTGACAGGAAATCAGTCAAATTCACTCAGACAATTTGAACTTTACCACTGAGGTGTGCTCTCTGCTTCTGCTTCCCAAGTTGCCATATGATGACAACGTGATTCTGTCACCCCCTCTGAAGTGCTCCACAAACACAGTATTTTCTATTTGCATTAAATATGGGTTTTCTATTTACTGTGTTTCATTAGATGATGCTTTCTTTTTTACAATCTTTTTATTTTTTCCTCCTAATGTTATGAATTAATATCTGAATAATTATGTTCATGCTATTCTGTTAACATCTTATTCTCATCTTTTAAACAGTTCCTTATTCTTGTCTTCTAAATAGATAATTCTGTGATTGCATGCTTATAAAAATACTTTCAAATTAGGGAAAGAGATTTGCAAACTGTCCTTTAACTCCTTCTAGCTTGGCTTCAAATGACCCTCTGCTGTATTTCTGAAAGGCTGAGGCCTATTGCAATTCAGCATGTACATTCTCTTTATCTCCTGCCCAAGAAATTCATTTTTTTTTTAGCTTTCTCTCTCCATTCAAACTGACCTTTCTTTTATTAAGATGTGTTTAGAGAAAAGAATTCTACTCTCTACTCTTCATTTTTGCTTCTGGTTGACTATGCCTGATAATTTGTGCAACCACTTGACTCTAATTTATTCCCCATATTTCCCTTCCACCTGATGTAACTTTTTCATAGTTATGTATTACAAAGCTCACTAACCTGCTTTATCTCGAGGTGTAACTGGGGATCTGTGTTTCTGAATCTCTGATGCAGACATCAATACCTCTAAGCAAACCTTCTCTCAAATGCAGATAGACTACTTTTTGCTCAACTCGAACAAAGCTCCTTTGCCTCCTTTATTTTCTGCTTTATGGTATCTGTTTATAATGTAAATGGTGAGAAATCCTAACTATCTTTCGTGGTGTTTAAAATGCATGCTGAATCTAAACTCACTCCAACTCTGCTAGTCAGAGGGTGAATCGTAGCTGACCAGCCTGTTAACAGGGTTGGAACATACTGTGCCCCAAAATCCATACAAATCTCTTATGTGGCTTTTGCTCAAGATTGGCTATGTTTGGCTGCACAAAGTGGCTTTCTTTCACATTGCTGGTTAGTACTAGGTAGCAAAAGCACACACACAAGCTCTAGAAGCCATTCAGAAGCGCCCATCCTTGCACTCATGCAGTGCTGCACACACACGTGGATGCAAGAGCTCTGGGCTGTCCTCTACAGACCTGCTGTCAGCAGGACCACTCTAGGAGCCTCTCACCTCTGATGTCCTCTCAGCCATCTGCATACAGCTGCTCCTATGGCCTGGGAAACTGATTCCAGTTAAACGTCAGTGGTTTTATGAAACAGACAAAAATGTGCTAATTCTGAGTACGGCCCAGTTCACTACTTGGCCCTGGGGTCTTAAGGCCCTGATTCAGGAGAATGCTTTGGTTTACCCCTTCTGCACAAAGTACAAAAGCATGTCCTTAACATCAAACACACGCTGAAATTCTGTTGAAGTCATTTTGCAAGGGATGGGGTAAACCCAGCAAAGCTACAAACAGAACATTATTAAATTAAAATGCTAATTTTATCTCTTAGGTCTCTATTAATAGGTCTGGGATGTGGCTTTCTACTGAAATGTTCCATTGAAAGTATAAATTACTTTGAAAGTCTCAATGAAAGTCTCCCTTTGCCCTTCTTCTTCTGCTATTTTCCATCAGCAATTCACCTCAGATAAAGCACTTCCCACCAGTTCAGAAATACAGCTGAGCAGCACCTTAATCTGCATTGTCTGAATGCACACAAGCTGTGTATTTCAGAAAGTGTTGCTACTTATTTTCCATTTCAGAACTGAAAGAAACTGAAAATAGTCACACAGAAGGTACCTAATCAGCTTGGCAGGACATCTCTGTGCCATGGAAGATTTATTCTTATTCTCTACAGCTCAAGCTGGGCACTCTAAGAACGAATGCAGTCTGGCTTCCAAACCCAGGAAGGCGTACAACCAAACATGGGTCTCACTTACTGCACTCTGGGGCAGATACATGTTGTTGATGTGTTTTACACCTGTCTGCTAAGGGTGACACTTGTTTGGAAAACTGCTTTACTGGAGGGCACCTCACTTTGATGCCTCTTGTGTTGAATCAGGGATATTTTGAGAAGGCAGTGGAGAAAGATGTCACATCCTCAGCTCCTGCTCTGATAGGCACAGGAATTTCTGGCAGGCTGACAGATGGCAGGTAGCACTCTCCCTCCCTGTAAAAATTGAATAATAAAGTAGTGGAGATTATAGCTACAGTATATTGCATAAATGCCAAATTCTTTGCCAGATAATGCTTTTTTTTTTTGTCCTAAATGGTCAGCAGGACCTAAGGAAAGAAGATTTAATATATATTTAATATACAATTGGTATCGTTCTCCTCTTCCAAGCCCAAAACATAGTAATGAACACAAAAGGCAAAACAACACAAAGCAAAGGATTTTGGCTCTTGCCAAAAAAATCTTGTCCTGGGGGACACTGCTTTGTACTGCGAAACCAGTCTGTACAAATGAAGGCAAAGACAGAGATCTCTGCTCTCTAGGAGTTGGTGGGAAGTTTATCATTGATTCCGAACCCTGGATCAGAGATCTGGATCTCTGGGATTGAAAAAGATGCTGAATGAAATAAAGCTGAAGGCACAATGACTGCCTAAGTCTGCACACAGCCTGACACAGTTAGCCAGCGCTGTGCCCACTGCCTGGCCTGTGGTATTTAATTAAAATAACCGTGGGTGATAAAAGAGGAAAAGCTCTGTGCAACACCTTGGTTCACCTCGGTGGGCAGCGGAGGGAGAAGACCTGAAAGTGCTAAAGCCTAATTATTTAGTAATTATACTACAACGATTAGAAAGACGCTACCATAAATAAATTGAAACAGTAAGAAAGTTCACTGTTATAATTCACACATGACAAAAACAAAACAAAAACCAACAGTCCTGGCAGGTATCAGATTTGATCGTCAGCAATATGTACTTTTTCAAGGATTAGATATCAGTTTCCTCATACTGAAAATACTGGTGAGTTCTACAAGTAGAGACGGCGGTATGGCCTTCAGCACTTATTTGTCTTTATCAAACCACACCACTTGTGCAAAGCGCACTGGACACGTTTTCAGTGGACAAACTGCACGACGACACAGCCATGCTGAAACGAGTCAGAGGCTCCCGCGTGCTACAGTCGGTCCGAAGTAGGACGGGCAATAGAGAGGCTTGGGAAGGATCACAACTTCGATTCCTCTCTTCGGGAAGGGCGGCAGGCAGGAGGGCAGGGGGCAGACAGGGCCGGGCCGGGGGCGCGGCGTCTGCTCCGGGCGGGGGCGCAGCTGCCCCAGCCCCCGGGGCCGGGCCGGGACAGCGCGGCGATGCGGACGGCGGGGAGCGGGGCCGAGGGATCTCCGATCTCCAACCTCCCCCTCCGCCGCCGCCGCCGCCGCCGCATCGCCCGCCCCCGGTGCGGCGGGCCCCGCGCCCTCCCCTTCCTCCCCCCGCGACCCCCCGCCCGGCACGGGACCCTTTAAGAGGAAGAGGGAGTAACTGGAGGGCTTGGCCAGAGAATGGGGCCGCTCCCGCGAGGGCTATGGGACTGAGCCGCCTGGGTAAAAGAAGTTGAAAAATAATAATAGTAATACGCGAGAAGAAAAATAGCAGAAGAGTCGGGTATTTATAAAGTGAAAAAGAAGGAAAAAAAAAAAAGGGGGGGGGGGGTAGAGGGGGATTGGAAACAGGAGGAGAGAGGAGGGAAGGGGGGAAAAAAAAAAAAAGGAACGCCGTCCCCAAATTGTGCCAACTCCGGGATCGAGCAGGGATGGTGCACCCCGGCTGGGTCTGCCTGCTGCAGAGCCTCCTCCTGCTAGCCAGAGCGCGGCAGAGTCGCGGCCCCGCCGGCGCCTGCCCGCTGCGCGGAAAGGTAAGCGGCGAGCGCGGAGGTGGCGGGGGACCTCCTTCCCCCAGGGGCAGCTCGGGGTGGGGACGGCTCAGCTGCGGACGGGCAGTGAGGGAGCGGCGGGGCCCTGGGGTTCTGCGCCCGCGAGTCCAAGCACCGCCGCGCTTTGGCAGAGGGTGCGATGGGGGACTGTCGGCGGCTGCGCTTGCACCTGAATCCGCTCCCTGCGAGGAGCCGCCCCCAGGCCGACGGCGCTGCTGTAGAAGGAAGGTCCGGGAGCAGCGTGCTCCTCGTGGGGACGGCCGGTTGGCTTCCTGCTTCATCCGGGCGTGGTGGGACAGGTTCAGAACAGCAGTGTCAGTGGCCTTTCAGCAGAAATGCGGTGACGGGTTGTGTGGGGTGTTGTTTGTGCTCTCACTCCACCGGTCTGCGTGCTGTGAGCTGCACGGACTGCCCAGCCCAGGGGGGGAGAAGTGCAGCCGAGGGCTGCCTGCTGCTCGTGATTCTTAGGCCGATGTGAAGCCCGTGGGCAGATTGTCATGTCCGTTAGAAGTCAGACATAGGGAAAAAGCAGTTCTCGGTGAAGCTTCTGAGGTAAAAGCACAAAGAACCATATAAGAAAAGTCATCCTGAGCTTGCTGTGTGTTACTAGGTGTGATAGAACATCCCTGCTCTCTGTAGGCAATGGACATGGAAGCGGCCTGTCACCAGAGGTGAGGGCGGCGTGTATTGCACTACTTGCTATAGAAGCATTTGAGTAGCAAGGGCCTCTTAAAGGCTGTCTGATCCAACTCCTCTGCAGTGAGCAAGGACACCGACAGTCGGATTGAGTGCTCAGAGCGCATCCAGCCTGACCTTGAGTGTCTCCAGGGGCAAGGCGTCTACCAGCTCTGTGGGCAACCTGTACCAGCGCCTCACCACTCTTTTCATAGAAAAACTTATTCCTTATATCCAATCTAAATCTCCCCTCACTGAATTTGAAGCCATTTTCTGTCCTGTCACAGCAGACCCTGCTAAAGAGTCTGTCCCCTTCCTTCTTATAGCCCCCCTTTAGATACTGAAACGCTGCTACTGGGTCTTGCCAGAGTCTTCTCTTCTTCAGGCTGAACAGTCCCAGCTCTCTCAGCCATTGCTCACAGGGCAGGTGTTCCATCCCTTGGATCACGTTATGTTTTTATGGCTGAGGTAAGGTGAGCCCCACCACCATGGCCACAAAGGGAGTCAGAAACCCTTGGAAGGAAGTGCAGCGGTGCTACACAAGGGAGGTAGAGTCTCGTTGCAGTATGGGAGCAGCAAGAAGGCTTGGTACTAACAAGAAGGCCTGGGATGCCTCACGACCTGCTCTTCCTCTCCCCATGCACCAGAACCCAAAGCCTCAGGGCCTTGTGCCTCCAGCTGTTGGTACGGGGCCCCACTGCCAATGAGCTGTGGCACATCCTGTAACCCAGTGCTTAAGGCACTGCCAGTGGAATAGTCTGTCTGCCTACATAGCTGCCCTGCCCATGGCAGTGAGGTGGAACCGGATGGGCGTTGAGGTCCTTTCCAACCCACACCATTCTGTGATTCTATGATTTGGTTCTATAGGATTTATGAGAGTTAGTGGAAAAACTGAAAGTGAAGTGCTCCGTATTACAGTTAAAGCTGCAGTCAGTAATGAGTCTCATCGTTCTTTTTTCACAGCAAAAGAGAAAGACTCTAAAACAAGTAAGAATGTTGGAATCTGGTAGTACTTTCTTTTTTGCTTAACATCAGAGAACATTGGTAAATTTCAAGCCAGAATCCACAGCAACATGCCAGTGGTTGTAGCTAGTTAATACTTCATGATGTTGTTCCTGTTAGGGAGTCAACCAATTTAAATAGCTGCTTTTCTCTCTTACATCTATCTTATATCTCCTAAGTAATGTCTCCTAATTTGTGGTGTCAGCCCACACCTTCAGCAGTGGATGTTGGTGCTACGGCTGTAGAGATTGAACCTTCCCACCAATATTCCATTACACGTTGTTGTCGTGTGACGGATGGCAGCAGAAGAGCAGTCAGACAGAATGGTGTCTGAGGTGGAAGTGCACATGAAGCAAAAGTGTGGCACTGAATTTCCTCCATACAGAAAAAGTAGCACCCACTGACATTCACTGGTGCTTGCTGAACATTTCTGGAGACCGGACAGTGAATGTGAGCCCTGTGAGGCAGTGGGTGGTGTGTTTCAGCAATAGCAATAGCTTCAGCGGGTCACCTCTGCTGGTGCAGATGTTTATGAGCATGGCATGCAGGTTCTTGTTCACCACTGATGAAAATGCACAGCTCATGGTGGTGACTGTAGTGAAAATCAGTGTTTTGTAGCTGAGAATTTGCTTTAATGAATAGCGTTGCTATGCTCCTTGTTATAGTTTCAATGGAAATAAATAGGAGGCATTACTTTTGGAGTCACCTGTGAATTTACTTTGATAGAGCAGGTAATGTCTGCTGCAAATCCTTGACATTTTAGGTAAAAATTCTTTTTTTTTCCTTTAAATTTTTGATTTTTCACTTCTGTCAAATGGAGACTAAATTGTGTTCTTTTAATAGTTGTAATAGTAGCCAGCGTAGTGTTTATCCCTCGGTGAGTTCTGCTTACAGTCTTAGCTGAGTTTTAGTGTCACTAATGTAAATGGACAAAAGCTTAAGAGAACTTAAAAATGTGCCTTACATTTCTTGGTGCATTACTGTTGCTGCATGGGGCACTTTGTGTGGTGATTAAAGGCGCAATCTTTGCCTCAATTAGGTATAAGTGGGTATGACAAGACACAACACCAAAGTAGATAATAAAGAGGGAGAAAGCCATATAGGGAGGGCTACAGGCTGCCTGCCTGGGTAAAACACTGCATGCCACACGCTCTGGCTTTTGTTGCAAGAAACATGTAAGAGCATTTTTTGGATTGAGAAACAGTGCAGTTCTGGTCTGCTGTTTGGAAGACTTAGATGTTGGGATGATTATGAGGGTTTGGCGTTCCAGAGGACTCTGAAGCACCAGAGGGCAGCTGCCTGCACAGCAAGTGATGTGCTTTGTGGTGAAAAACTTGTAGTCAACATAAACAGGGATCAAAAGGTAGAAGGAAGCAGCAGTAATGCAACATGCTCAGTCATCTGGGCAGACCTGAGGCAGGCTTCCTTGTGTCAGAAGTTTGCATCCAGTTCCTCACTCTTCAGACTGCAGCTGTCCTTCCCTTCAGATCCTCTGTTCCCTGGATCTTCACAACCTGTTCCTCTTAAAACTTTCATTTTTAAAATTCCCATCATAGTGTTGCTCCTTTTCTGGAGTACTTTTTCAGAGTACTGTCACTAGAGGCATTCTTTGTTTCTCATGTTTTTCTTTGTGTTATTTCCTGGATGTTTACTGTTGTTTTTGACAGCCAGTATGTCATTTACCCCACTTTGAGCTCTTTTGTCAGAAGAAGAATAACAGATCCTATTTGGCACTTCTCTCCCAGAAGAATTATTGTTGCCTCACCTGAAGAGATTTCTGCATTAGCAATTTGTATACCTGAAGACTACTTTCCTTAGTAGTCCTAGAAATGCTGCTGGAAAAGCAAGCTACTGAAGGTTGTTAAAATGAGCTGTATTGGAAGTTTGTTTTTTTTTCTTCTTTTTTCTTTTCACAGAATCACAGAATGGCCCGGGTTGGAAGGGAGCTCAAGGATCATGAATCTCCAACCCCCCTGCCACTTGCAGGGCCACCAACCTCCTGATTTAATACTAGATCAGATTGCCCAGGACCCCATCCCAACCTGGTCTTGAACACCTCTAGGGATAGGGCATCCACAATCTCTCTGGGCAGCCTGTTCCAGCACCTCACCACTCTCACTGTAAAGAATTTTCTCTGAAAGGAGGAGGAAGAAACTTATTGGAAAAATAAAGAAAATGCCTCTCAGTCTGAGCTTCTGTTCTGCTGAAGCAGAAAGAAGGAGGCAGGAGATAATGGGAGTTTCCAAGGCCACCAGTGGACAAACAGCTTCCTGTTTCAGGAAGGATGCTGGTATATTGGGCTGGATGCTTGGGGTTCAACTATCATTCCTTAACACTTCAGTCTCCCATTCCTCAAGCTTTTTTATTCTTTTCCAAACCCTTCCTGAGCCACTGAGGAAAACCCTTCATGTCCACTACACTTTTCCCTGGTTTTCTGCAATTCCTAATGCTTTTGTCCTTTTATTTGTGGAACCATTATCTGTCCTTAGGTGCATCCCATTGCAGCTCAGAGTGGGTGCTTGAATAGTCATGGTGAGATGGGGCAGCACGGCTTTCCCCATCTCATAGCAGGGAGTGAATTCCATAGGGCTTTGCGTCCATAGGTCTATGTTTCTGTAGGTCCAGTGTTAGTTTGAGCACTTCCTTTCCCTTTCCATCCACTGTTTCCACCACCTCATAGTACTTCTTGTGCTTTCAGTTGTAAGAACTGAGCTAACTGAAGAAAAGCTTTTGCTTTTATTTTTTTATTTTTTTGCATGTGTGTATGTGTGTTCAAACTTTTTGCTTGGCTGGAACCCTGAATCTGTTCACTGTCTGATCTTGTTCCCCTGGGAAGATGCTCATCATGCTGAACATCCAGAAATAATTGGATGTGGGGCTCCCTAGCAGAGATTAAACTCAGTCCTAGTGGAGATGTGTTGTGGCAGAGGGCATGTGCTGTCGCTCATTTGATATTGCCTGAAATCTCAGTGGAGCAGTGAATCAACAGGCCTCACATGGGACTACTGCTCTCTTCCTCAGGCTGCCATCCAGTTCTCCCCTTCTACCTTGTTTTTGCCATAGTGAAAAAAAGTATTCTGTGCTACCTGTAAAATTTGGGAGTGGAAACAGACATACACATGGTGGTCTGTACATGAAGCTGCCTGTTTTCCTGTTACACTTGTGAAATTCCTGGAGCTGCCAAACCCAGCTTTCTCTGCAGCCTCCAGGATACCACTTTCACTGTTTCATGCTCCTTTCTGAAGTAAAAGCTGTGTGGAAGGGTCCTGCTACAAACCAACTGTAGCCTTTATCTGTTGCATGCTCTCAGGAAAGTGAGGTGAGAAAGAGAGGCTGCCAGTGATGGCATACTCTGCAACGCTAAGCAAGCCTTGGCACTGCTCCTGCACTATCTCATGGCCACCTAACATGTAGCTAAAGAGCTCCCCTTTTACGGACTTGGGGAGAGATTATAGGCTTCCTTTCTCTGAAGCTGGATTGAAATGTGGTAAGCTCTAGGAGCTGCACCACGTTGAAAATAGAGCTGTCCTTCAGCCTCTGCACTAGCTCTGCATAGTGCTCGTGAGCCCATACGGATTGAGATGAAGACCCGTCACTCTGGGATAGAGCTGCCTCTGGTGTGGAGCTGCATGCAGAGTGCCTGGCCATTCTGTTGAGTAAGATCTTGCTCCCTACAATATGAGAGATAAGTTTTACTAGGTCTCAGCTTGCTTTCTTTTAATGCCTGTGCTGTAGACTCTACAGTGTGACCTGTTTGCTCTGTGCCTGGCTTGTGTGTTCTGTCATTGGTAGTGCTGGTAGCTGGTGGCATTACTCAGCTTGCAGTATGTGAAGCAAAAGCTGTGGTGATATGCAGAGCAAAAGACTTGAGAGTGCAGTGCCAAATACCTTTCCAGCTGGGTTGTATACAGTGATCTGGAGCAGAAACGACACTGCCAGATACCCTTCGTTTGGGCTTGAGCCTGCTAGGTGGCTCTGTGCAGGAACTGGACTGAAATGTAAGAGGGCTGGTGGCCATTTGTTCCTTGTGATTTCTTTTGCTGCGTATACATGATCAGACTTGCGTGAAGTTGTGTTGACCTCACAAACCTCATTCCTGTCCCAGGTGCATCTTCTGCCTTCTTTCGTGCTTCTAGGTTAAAAAAAAAACAGTACTGCTGGTCATTCCTTCCTGCTGGCTGCTATCTACTTGTTTTTCTCACAGCAGAGATACGTCCTTCCATTTTCCCTCCTGCAAAACGCGGGAGTGAATTCAGCCTGGTTTCCCTTCTTGCTTTCCTGTGTGCATTCATTTTTTTTCATGTACTTTCTGGGTTTGTGTTGGATTCATACTCTATCCTGTATTCTTTTTCCCTCTTAGTGCTGTGTATCATTCATTCTTTTCTACCTGTGGTCTCCAGGAATATTTTTATGGTCTGTGATTTAGGAAAGTGTTCCAGGACTGTCTGTTTGGTCTCTTTGCAGAGATGTATCTTGTTACCCAGACTCAGGTCTCTGAGGTATCTTACAGACCTTTAACGTGGCACAGCAGTGTCTGAAGACTGCTTGGTGTTTACTTATTTGTCAGTGTGCTGGCAAGCCATATTGACAGCAGCACTTTGCTGAAGTGCTGTCTGATCCATGGCTTAGACTCAGTGTGGAGTTCTGGAAGAAGATTGTCTGGGATCAGCCATTGAAGAGCAGTCTTTTAAGATTAACCTTCCTGACCCTTGTTCTTTAGCATCAGAAAGTTACAGGCAGTGTGTTTCCAATAAATTCCTCCAAGCAGCCTGTTCTGCATTTGGCAGTCAGGCAGGTATCTTAGATGAGCACACATGCACAGTTAGCCTTGGAGCTGAGGTTAGAGTTATATGCGGGCTAAAGACTGACCAGATGTTTGAGCGCATCTGGAAGCCTGTCCTCCTTCTTAAATATGCAAAGGCAGTATACCTCTTCTGGTCTGCTCAGGGAGATACAAACTGTGTCCACTCAGTAGGGATCACTGCACCTGTGATGGAGTCATGTCTGCTAATGGTGTAAAATGACTTCTGGGATCTGGGCAGGACCCATTTTTCCTATCTGCTCTACTGTCCTGGGGGACACCCCACACTGTGGTGTTTCTGGGGGTGGTGTGAAGCCCATCTTGCAGTAGAGCAAACATAGTCTGATTCTGACTTGCTGATAGCTGGGAGGTTTGGGGAGACTTTTCTATAAGCTAGATCTAAAGAAAGAGGTTTTCTATTGCCTGGGACCACAGACTAAATATGGCCTGCAGAGTTTCTTCCTTTGTTTTTCTAAGGTATTGAATGTGTTTTTCTCCTCCATAAGAAAAAAGGCAAATTGATCTGAGGAGCCTTGTCTACGTGTCTGTCTGCCGTGTGCCACATTCTTGAAAAACTCCAGTCCTAACTGCTCCAGCAAGAATTTCTGCCATGTAGTAGTTGGTGTTAATCATATGTTTAGTTCTTGTTCAGTGGAAAGTTCTATAAAGGTGCTTTCTGACTGTGTGTCATGGCAGCTTCCTTATGGGAAGGGTCTTTGATGTGCTGACACAAGAGGTGCCAAGGTGAAGGTGATTGACAGCCTGACATTTCAGCAAAGTGACAGCAACTTTTGACTTGATGAAAGATGGAAGTCAGGTAAACATTTTGCAGAAGCATAGCCTGCTTGGGCTGTGCTGTTGCTGCTTTTGGCAAATACTGGGAAGATGAGCTGGGATGATGTTTCTTTTGAGAAGCTATGACATTGTCTCTCAGGAGAAAGCCAAAGCCACACTTACTTTTAATTAATGAAAGGTGCTTTTAATTAATGAAAGATGAATTTTGACCTCAAGGCCTGAGAAGAAAGATACTGAAGAAGGACTTGTGTGTGTAGCCTCTTTAGTTAATGTACATGCTGGCAAGCTGCAGAACCAGGTGACCTGCTGGGTTGGCAAATTGTTTCCCTTTAGCCTTCTACTCAGTGCCTGTTGTGAGTGTTTGCATATACTCAGCTGTATCTCCCTCTTCCCTGGCAGACTGAACTGAACTCCTTTCTGTGGACCATCAAGAGAGATCCCCCATCTTACTTCTTTGGCACCATCCATGTCCCATACACCCGTGTCTGGGATTTCATCCCAGAGAACTCCAAGAAGGCCTTTCAGCAGAGTCACATAGTGTACTTTGAGCTGGACCTCACCGACCCCTACACCATCTCTGCTCTCACCAGCTGCCAGCTGCTGCCACAGGGGGAGAACCTTCAGGACTTGCTGCCCCGTGACATCTACCGCCGGCTCAAGCGGCACCTGGAATATGTCAAACTCATGATGCCATCTTGGATGACACCAGACCAGCGGGGCAAGGGGCTGTATGCAGACTACCTCTTCAATGCCATTGCTGGCAACTGGGAGCGGAAGAGGCCAGTGTGGGTGATGCTGATGGTGAATTCTCTGACGGAGGTAGACATCAAGTCTCGAGGAGTGCCCGTCCTGGATCTGTATCTGGCCCAGGAAGCAGAACGGCTTAGGAAGCAAACAGGCGCTGTGGAGAAGGTGGAGGAGCAGTGCCACCCACTGAACGGGCTTAACTTCTCCCAGGTGGGACAGAGGCTTGCAGGATGGCACAGGGCACTGGGCTGGTTGCTGGGGCAGACGTGTAGCAAGCAGGAGCATGGGAATTGGCCTGGAGTGAGTGCTGTCCGTGTGTGGTACCTGGAGTCTTGCACTTGCTGCCTGCACCCCTTGTCTCTTTGTATACCTGTGGGAGAATCTGCTTAGCTGTAGGAGTTCAGGCTGCCTCCTCAATTTGTTTAGACCTGGCCTGAGGAGGTCCCTCTCCTCTTCCCTGGAAAGCCTTGGACTGACTCCACCCCAAGTGACACTGGACCCTTGGATCTGCTCTCTGACCCTGCGAGGCATGTTCATAGTAGGTGCCAGGGGCAGGTTGGGACTCCTTGTCTAAACTTGCTTTTGTATTAGCTAGGTAAGGAGAAAGATGTAATTACCTGGGGGAAGAAGGGGCATTGTCAGTGAAGCTGGGATGTACTACTGTTTGGAAAAGTAGCTCAGCTGACTTCTCAGTACCCTGAGGAATAGGGGCTCATCCTCTGTATTAGAGTTATTTTATTTATTTATTTTCCTTCCTTTGAAGCCTGATGAGGGTCAGCAAAAACACCCCCCTCCCTCTCCCCTTGCCAGCCTCTTTGGGGAGCTTCATGGATTAGTACAGGCTCTTCTGTGCTTTCAGACCAGCTGGAAATTAGTACCAGTGTACATACAGTGTCACACCAGGCAAGCCAAACAACCTCAGGTCACTTGTGAGGTCTTCAGTCTGGACTAACTGCCAGGGCACAGTTTGTGTTGCAGCCCCCATCCTAACTGGTGGGACCACAAGTATCCAGAATGTGGTTCTGTGGGATGGGAAGAGCTGAAGTCAGGGTGCTGTCCAGCAAGGGCAGGGACAGCAGTTTGGGGTTAAATATCTGCAATCCCATCTAGTCTTCTCTGGTTCCAGCAGTGTAGAGAGCAGTGGGTACATCACTTGCACAATCCTAAGCTTCAAATGCGTCACCTTCACTTCCATCATTTGGAGCTGGGCAGCTTCGTGCTTCTGTTCAGCCTTGCTTGTCTGTGCTCTGAGACCTTGCGCTCTTGCTGTCTGCTTTCAGCTGAGGCAGTCTCATCTTCTCCACCTCTTGTCTGGCTGAGGCTTTATTAACATTGCTGCCTGCATTTTTCTTCTGCTGACAGTGTCCCTGTGGTTTAACATGATAGGAAAGGGGGCTACATGCTTTCTGCTCTGCCTTACAAGGCAGTGACAGCGAGTCTGAAAAACATAGGTTGCAAATCATGGCCTGGTTAAGCCTACGCAACTGTTGACATTTACTTTGGGCTTTCATGCAGCTTTTTTCAAAGAACAGCTGTTGGTGTGCTATTTTCCTAGCAGAAAAGTATCAGCTGGGAAGTCAAGTGGGGTGGGGTTGCAGAGCTGCGTCACCCAGAGTTGCCTAACCTTGCAGCATTTATTGTGCATCTTTTAAGACTTCAGAGCCCACCTGAGGGGGGACAGGGTAGCCAGAACTGCAGAGGAAACATAGCCTTTGTGAAAATTACAGACTGTGATTACCCCATAGTAACTGGGGATGTGTATGCAAGATGCTACTCCTCCCATGCCTGCTGTTAGAACACAGCAGCTCATTTGTAGGGAGAAGGAGCAAGTCTGGAGCAGCTAATGCACTGTAAATTCACTTCCTTCTGCTCACTGCCAGCTTTCCCATACAAGTAATGTTCAGGAAAAAGAGAACCACAGTCTATTGTTTTTTATGTTTCTAAGCAAATGCCATGGTTGTTTCACAACCTGACATGTGAACTGCTATGGTTGGCAGTTCTGTAAATTTAAAAGAGCCTTTTTCTCAGTTTGTTCAAGCAGTTAATTACATGTTTAATATAAATCAAATGAAGACTTTGAAATAGGCTCTTTGAAAATGATTTCCTTTGTTTTCATGCCACTATCTGGGAACCCCTGGTATCAGACCACTACTGTCTGCCTTTCAAGTAAGCCGCAGACACCCAAAGATGACATATAAAGCTCTTTTGAGGAAAAAGCTCTTTTTGAACTCTACATCCCCCGGCAGCAGAAATTGAAGAAAGGAGGCAGGCGACCAGTGTGGCTGAGCAAGGACCTGCAGCTTAAACTGAGGGAAAACAGGGAAATGTACAGAAAGTGGAAGCAGGGTTGTGTAGCCTGGGAAGAATAAAGCAACATTGCCCTTGTTTGTAGAAATAAAATCAATAAAGCCAAGGTGCAGATAGAGCTGAACTTGGCAAGGGATGTCAAAAATGACAAGGGGTTCTTTGGGTAAATAAGCAGAAGAAGATGAAGGAGAGTTTTCGCCCTCTGAGAAAGAAGGACGGAGAACTGGCTTCCTCAGACATGGAAAAAGCTGAGGAGCGCAATAAGTACTTCGCCTCGGTCTTCACTGATAGTCAGGCTCCTCCACATGTCTGCCAGGACCCTGAAGCTCTAAATGTGGGTGAGAGCAGTGCATTCCATCCCACTGTAACAGTGAGACCGGTGCTCTTCAACATCTTCATCAGTGACATAGATGTTGGCATCGAGTGCACCCTCAGCAAGTTTGACATCAAGCTGAGCTGTGCAGTCAATGCATCGCAGGGAAGGGAAGCCATCCAGAGGGACCTGGACAGGCAGGAAAAGTGGGCCTATCAGAATATTATGAGGTTCAATGAGGCCAAGTGTGGGGTGCTGCACTTGAGTCAGGGCAATTCCACGTATTTATAGAGACTGGGTGAAGAACCTCATGAGAGCAGCGAGAAAGACTTGGGGGTTCTGGTAGACAAGAAGGTGGACATGAGCCAGCAGTGTGTGCTCGCAGCCCAGGAGGCCAAATGTGTTCTGGGCTGCATTAAAAAAGGGGTGGCCAGCAGGGAGAGGGAGGTGATTGTCCCCCTCTACACGGCTCTTGTGAGGCCCCATCTGCAGCACTGCAACCAGGCCTGTGTCTCAGGACAAGAAGGATGTGGAGGTCTTGGAGCGGGTCCAGAGGAGGGCACTAAGATGAGCAGAGGGCTGGAGCACCTCTCCTGTGAGGAAAGGCTGAGGGAACTGGGCTTGCTTGACTTGGAGAAGAGAAGGCTGTGGGAAGACCTCACTGTGGCCTTCCAGTACTTGAAGGGAGCGTACAGACAGGAGGAGGAATGGCTGTTTACCAGGGTGGACAGTAACACAGGAGGAGGTTGGAATGAGATGATCACTGTGATCCTTTTCAACCGAGGCCATTCTGTGATTCTGTGTATTCATTTATAAAGTTGAAACCTGTATCATTTCAATTTTTTTTTTCTTTTTTTCTTTTTGCCAAATTAACTCTCAAAAATTAGGTATTATTTTAGAAAGCCCTACTTACTGACCCAGTGTCATTTTGAATATTCAGGTTTATATTGCCACCATCTGGGGTTGGCAAGACCTAAAAATGCCATTAATAGGCTTCAGAAATACCTGGGGTGGTCAGAAGGACAGTAGCCTGGGTTACTGTTCTTGCAGCTGTCACAGGCTTCACGTGCTCCAGATGACAATGACTGATAGATTACACTGCCAGTACCTGTCTGTGTTAGGCTCAATATTAGACACAAAATGCCTCAGTTGCTTTTGCAAATTAGTTTCATGTACCTGTTCACAAGATGAATACTCTCATCAACTTAAGATCACAGAACTTCAGTTCAAATATAACATATTAAGGTTTATTAACAAGTCCAAATACATGACTATATAAGATATTTTGTCCTAATCAGTAACTCCTTAGAAATATCAGAAAGTAGGAAGCAGAGGTTTAACAGAGCCCATGGCATACAGCAAAGCTTTCAGAAGTGGAGCAACAAGGGTGCTGTGAAAGTTCCCACACTTGGAAAAAACCTTCCAACCACTGAATTGCTCTGCAGCACAACTGCACAAACTATGAACCAACCTTTCAAAGATTTCCCTTCTAGCTGTTAAGTTCTGCAGGTGACACACTGCCGCTTTGTCTTGGCTGAAAGTGTCCCAACAGCTGCAGCAGTTCATCTCTTTGCACCATTAGATTCAGTCTGCCACCAGGCCTCAGCTGGAAGTTTTCCTTTGGAGGATGCTGGTGTGAGGTCCCTGTCCATCTTGTGGCATTTAGCAGAGGATTGCAAAAGGAGGTCTTTCCTTCCCAAGTTTTATTTTTTCTTCCTCACCGGCCTTGCTCTTCAGTTCAGCCTTGGACATCTGGCGGGAGCTTGCAGAAGAAAGCTGTTATCTTCTGGGTTTAGTTTTCTATTCCACCTCATCCTCACCGTTTCATCCAGCCTTAGACATTTTGCTGGAGTTCGCCAAACACGTTTGACATCTTCTTGCTTAGTTATCTCTTCCTCCTCAGCCTCACCATTTCATTCAGTCTTGGACATTTTGCTGGAGGCTCCCAGTTGAGGCAGGACTTTCTTGCCTTTTTCTTAGTGTGGAGCACCAAGTCATGCATTCTTCAGGCTTAGCAGGACAGCACTCAACAGTCCGCAGCCTTGGCCTGAAGCTTTATAGCATCCGTTGTGTTCCAAGAATCCATGGCAACAGTTGGCGTGGTCTGCTGATATCACCACCTGCTAGGTGTGACCGTTCAGGCTCTGATCTGACTGCCTGCTGCTCCAGTCCAAACTCCAACAGCTTCTCTAGGAGGAGCCAATGGGTAACGGTGCTGCAAGAGTTCCTCAGGAGCAGGTAGACACAGCTATGCACTGCTCTCTCCTGAATGAGCAACATTCTCCAGTGTGGCTCTCAGGTTTGCACACTGGGATGCAAACCTCATCACCAGAGCCCATGGGTTTCTCTCTGTCCTGTGTCTCAATTGTTGCCTGACACAGTGGATTGAGTTTACATGCCAAGGTTTTGCAGCTGGACTGTCCTCTGTGAGAAGGGTTTGCTTAGGTAGAGACAGTGTCCGAAGAAAAGCAAAACATGTGCCATGATACCTTCACACCAAGAGGGGACCACGTATATGCAGGCTGCACAAAACAGAACCTTCAAAATGGTATTTCACAGCACTGCAACAGCACCTGGACGGAGCAAAGGG